CTATGGAGAAGAATAGAAAGAAATCTCCTAGCACAATCAGTATATGCAAAAATATAAAGAGAAAATAAACTAGACAGTATGTCAAACACAGTCTCTGTAATTGCGTTTTGTAATTACTGCAAGACTGAAGCATATAACCTTGTGTGTTATTATTTGTCAGTAACAGTATTTAGAGAATGGTGTTTGATCAGTCTCTCTGAAGGTAGTAAAGTATCTGTTGAAGACTGTTAAAGGTTCAGTGTGTAAGTTTTAGTGACATCTAGTGGTGAGGGTTGCAAATCCAAGCAAGTAGTATAGCTACGGTGCCTGAGACAGGACGAAGATGTCATCTATGAGATAACAGAGAGTTGCCAGTCAAGAAATCAGGTTTCTTTGGATATGTATATTAAGAAATGATATTTACTTAATTATTCAGTAAAACCATATGTTTTTTGAATACTATTGTTACTTGTTCATTAAACAACAGCCATATCAAGAAATGAAGTGCTACATGATGTCTCATACTCCTGTAATACAGTATTTGGGAAGGTTGGCTCATCTGGACTAATATACCAAAGTAAATGAAGTCTCAAAAACTAGTACATCTAGTGCATCAAGTATGACCACTGACCTCACTGTTTCTGTACCGCAGTCCACTATAAACCACATAATAAATAAAGTTTACAAAGGTATTGGCTGGTGAGGATCAAAGCTCCTCCCACTTTGCTTAATTAGATAAGCATGCTAATCTTACCAAAATGTCTTTTTTATTTTTTTAAAATACAACAGAAACACAAAGTAGTACTGACAGCCATAATTTCAGCTTGTGGTAAAATGGTGCAACGTTTTTAATGGGTATTTAGTAGGGCTCACTCTAAATAGTCGAAGTGTCGATGCTACAATGGGCGGAGCCTGATTCGACTGTCAATCTCACAGTCGAAGCTTCGCAGCGAAACAAGGATCATGCCATTTATACGAAATTGGGGTGCTCAACGTCTGACTTTGCATTGATCTACCAGTTTTCTCCCTATTACAATACACATTTCAACGTTTAATGCTGTAAATAAACATGTAGAAAGAAAAAAAAACTTCCAATAAATGTTTTTAAAGTGTGTGAATAAATACAAAATTGTAACCCTAACCCTGGGTTGTCAGTGCACATGTGTAGGTGTAGCATGTATGTGTGTAGTGGCAGGAAGAAAACTTGCTGAAGAGACAGAGCCACAGCTTCACCAGTGTCGTGCCAAGTTGCCTGCACCTCGCGGGACTTGTGGGTAATTTATCACCGTTGATGAACCACACAAACAATATTATATTGTTTTTAAACAGCCGCTACTAGAAATACGCCCGCGAGGTGCATGCAGTTGTGGGCAGCATGGCAAAAACTCTGCACAAGACCGGTGAATGGCGAGAGAGAGAGAGAGAGAAAGAGAGAGAGAGAGCAACAATAAGCGCAGTAAAAGTTTAGCTGGCTGATCTGAGCTTAGATACTGGAAGATACCGTTTTATTGCCAATTAGTGATCAGCTGATTGTCTCATGAACATAACAAAACCAAAACAGAGCGCTGGAGAGAGAGAGTAACTACATGAAATTAATCCAACTACATATCTCACACCACAAGCCAAAGTCAGGTCTGGAGAATAAACCAATCCAGCTCATTTTACATGATTTGTCTACCAGGGCAGTAAAAGTTTAGCTGGCTGATGGTTCCATGCTCTAAGCTAACCTTACGGTTTTATTGCCAATTAATGTTACTGATCAGCTGATTGTCTTGCTAAGGTAACCAGCAAAGCGAAACCACAGGCTGGAGAATAACAAGGCGACATGAAATTAATGCAACTAAATATTTCACACCACTGACAGGAAACACCTCACAACTCTCATTATGGCCAGCTTCAAGCTAAAGTTATCAAACAACAGCTTTCATTTGCATCGCTAAAGTCTGACAAACTTAAGTTAATTCCCTGTCCAGCAGAAAACAGACAACTCAGATAACAGACAACTTCAGCACCGCTTTGAAAACATCTGTCCCACATTATAGCCTTCCATCTGGGAAAATCCACAACTTCCGTGATTTCTGCCGTCAGCTATTTGTATCTGTCCGACTCCTCTGGCTTCATGGTATATCTTCTTCTATGTATGTATTCAATGTAGTGACGGGCGTCTACACTGCCGGAATTATACAAGCGTGCCGAATTTTTCATGCCTGTCGAGAATTGCATGACTATGCATTAAAGTTCTGCTTTTAAACGCTATACTATTCTTTGTGGGGTTCATCAATAGTGATAAATGATCAGTAGGCCTATATATTTTATGAACGTTAAGAATCGTTAATATATATTATTACACTTACTAAGATTCAGCAAAAACGTGGTATTAATCGCGTTCAAACAATGTGAACAGCAAAGTGTCCTAAAAGGACCTTAATAAGTGAATGCATAATTCGGCAAAACGAAACAGATGTTGTAGGCTACCTGCCGAAAGAGAGATTTTAAAATGGGTCGCCAAATTTACTTGGGCGGCTATTAATCTACCTGGGTGGCCCGCCCAAGTAAAGCCTATGTTTGGGAAACACTGGGTTCTAGGGTCTTTATACACCACTGAAAACATATTTATGGATATTATATTGCATTTCTGTCACTAGATCCTCAGAAATATTACACACTGAACCTTTAAACTGTTATCAAACCGGTGCAAATATGTAATTGTTGCTGCATGAAAAACAGTTCCTATTGGCAAATAATTGTTTGATTGATGATCCATTCAAACATCAGGTACGCATTACTTAGTCATATGATTTGTACTGTCTCATAACCGATTCTGCAAAAAGGAGCAATTTAAATGGGGCAGATTGGAAGATTATTTATTTATTTATTTATTATCAGATTAAATTATCATTTATATTATTTATTATTCATTTATTGCTGATATGTCACAGATAATAGGGATACAATCAACTTAACTCTGCATTTAGACAAGTAAAGTATAAAGCATTCACCTTCAAAAAGACGAGTCAAGATTCATGGGATCTGTTAAGAGGCTTTGAAGGAAAGCATTATTTTGTCTTTGTGGATATCTGAGCCAAAACACTTTGCACTGTCTCTGACAGCTGGCTTCCACAAACTCCCCAATCATCCAATCTGTTTCTGAAACTGGAGAATAAGCTGCTCGTTTTACTCGGACCTGTCCAGTGTCCCGCAGAATACATTTAGCACATATGTTGACAACAGTAGCGGCATTGGATGAATGCACAAATTATCAAGATTTGGCAGTTTCCAAACCTCCAAATGTCATGTCGCCTGGGTGTGGGAGGTCTGAGGGCTGGAATGTGTGACAGCTGGATGTCCTAGCTTGGCAAATGAGGTGGGTAGCTGGATGATGGGGGTACACAGGGCCGTGTGGAGGAGGAGGCAGCCTGGGAGAAGAGGGGCATGTCGGTGGGGGAATTCCTCTCTCCCTCGCCCATCTGTGAGAAGCTGGAAGTGGTACATTTTAGGATTTTCTCAGATGAGGCAATGGAGTCGTTCCCCTGGGAGTGGAGCTTAAGACATCCAATCATATACGCCCTGCAGGCCTGCTGACTTTCTCAGCTGCTGTGTATCAGTCATTCCTCACGCTGCTGCGGCTCTCAAACAAAGTATATACATCACAAAGCAACAGAAATGTGAGTTTGTAGTACTTGTGATGGATTTTTCCACTCTTTGAAACAAGGCAATAAATCAGACAGACATGTCAGTATTGTATAACTTAACACCACATTTTTTCCGAAGCCCTCTTTTCCTTGAAATGAAACCATTTGTCTTCTGATGTAGGTCAGTCTCAACATTAGCCCAGTATTCCCTCAGTGTCACATTAACCTGTCAGCTGCTGTGTCCATTATTTTAGTTGTTTCCGACCGTTGTTATCTTGTAGGCCCTTAAAATGAAGCCAGGTGGACTTGTAACCCCTCAACTCAGGTACATTTTAATGGCCTGAAGTTGTAAAACTTTATAGCATTTCACAAGAAAAATACAAAGATGACAGAGAAGTCCAAACGAAACTCATAATTTTGTGTATTTGCTACCCTGAAATTCATGTAGTGACCCCTTAGATTCATCTTGCAACCTATTGTGGGATCCTGACTCCGGGTCCGGAACCACAGCTCTACTTTTCCCATTAAGTTTGATTATCAGTTCTGCCAACCGCACCAATGAAATCCAACCTCTCTGTCTGGAATATATAGGCCTAACATTGCTGCATTAATCTATCTGTAATGGCTTTTTGGGTTCTGAAGTACAGCTCTCTGTTTCTTGAAACGTTCCCTATGGTTTTATTCCAAAATGAATGCCCATTGATACGGAACTAACCTGTAACCTGTAAAACCACAACTTGTCGTTTTTACATTTCTGTTTGTGTTCAAAATGTATTAGAGGTGTGAGGAATATTTTTCTTTACTTTGGACAGAGCCTGCCTACCTTGTTTATGCTGATCTATGCATGCCTGAAAGGAGCTTACGACTGCATTCTTTGCTTTTAAGAGCACTTATTAAGTCCCTACCCACTGGCTGGTCTAATTGATGCAGTAAAAAAAGTCAAAATTGTATGAAATGACACTGCTTGTTGTATCGCTGCTTGGTTTAAAAAAAAAAAACCTACAGCAAATGTCTTACTGATCCTTAAATACTTTCTGATGAGCAGGCTGCAGTTTGCATTTTGCTCTTCTGAACTTAAGATTCCTGCCCATTTCGCTATGCATGATAACTAGGAATTTAGACTCTGAGCACAATGTGAACTAAACCTGTTTATTATGGCCTATATATATTTAAAAACTCCATATTTTACTGAGGTTATTTCCATGCAGGACGGGTGTGTCATTGTGACTACGCAAATGATTGCATGCTTTTTCTTCATGCTGAAGAAAAGGTCTGTGGTGACCCACTCAGGGGAGGAGTTTTAGTGTGTTAGGGCAACTTTAAGTAACCAATGACTTCCATCATCAGTGTAGCAACAAGCCTGCCTCCATACTCTGAGTCTCCCTTTGTCCATGTAAGTGCTTTTTCATGAGTTTGCAGCAGCCATGCACTGGGAGATCTAGAGGGAGGGTCTCTGAGTGAGAGCAGAGTTTGTATGTCTCTGTTTTCATTCAGTGGATGCTCAGTGGCCCTTGAACAGCTTGGATTTAACTGTTGACCAGCTAGCTAACAGGTGGCGTTTGGAGAAACAGTGAGAGCACTGTGTGGAGTGCTGCTACATGCTGAGACACTTGGAGGACTGTTGCAGGAACCAGCAGCATGTTGAGGATCCAATTGTGGTTGCTTGTCCTGGTTCTCTGTGCTGGGAGCTTAGAGGCCTGGTGGTGGGTCAAATCAGAAACCCCCACAGAGACTCCAATGGAGACAACTCCAGCAGGAACAACAAGTGCCACCATGACAGCCAATGCCACAAAGAGAAAGGAAGAGCAGGAGGATGACGATTTATCCGGGGTTGGGGATGAAATCATCAACGTTGCCACAGTAATCCGTAAGTTTGTTGAGGCGTGGGACGCGACCCCGACCGTCAGGACTACTAACGGAGGCCTAACAGAGAAGGTGGAAAGCGCTAACCCTAACATGGCGGGTAATACAAACAGGTTCAGAGGGGAGAGGGTGGAGGGGGGTTCTCTTGTTGGGTTAGGGGATGGGTTTGGGTCAGATGTAGAATCAGTGACGTTATGGAAAGGTGATAAAGACCTGCCTAGCAATTTAACCATGATTACAGGTGATGTTTCTAAAATCAACGGGACTGTTGAGGGTACCCCCCCTGATAGTCACATCAATGGTTCTGACCCATTTTGTCTCCCTGTGCCTTCTGATTGGTCCATTAGCTCTGGCAAATGGCCAAAATCTTTCACTCTGCCCAACTTTTTTTTTTTTCTTTTTTTCAACCACACGTCTGTGGAGGAGGTGGGGGATGTCCTACAGGAGTGGGCGTGGCTCGCGAGGGCAGGGTGTCACTATGGCACAGAGTGGTTCCTCTGCCTCCTGCTGGCCCCCAGGTGCCTTTCACCCACCGCACCCCTGCACCTGCCCTGTCGCAGCTTCTGCCAGGTGCTGCAGGCCAGCTGCTGGGCATCTCTGGGAAATGGGCATGTCCCTGTGGAGTGTCATCTCCTCCCTGAAAGAGTGCAGGAGCCCGGGCGTCCTGCATGCGTGTCAGTTAGTAACTGGAAGGTAACCCCAGCGGGTTAGAATGTATCCTGTTTGGAGATACATTTTGAATCCGATGTCACCTCACATTTTGTCGATGTTTAAGCGTTAGTCTGTGTCTGTTTGTGTTTGTTGGCTTTGGTATCATGCACATCATTGCTGTTTCAGACGTCTTTGCCTATCTAATGATTGATTTTGCATCTTTTAGCTATTTTTAATGCAATCACAAGTACTTTACATTACAGCGGACCATTTTTCAAACCACGTCGCCGTGTTTTTAAATGTTTGAATTGCATTTTTTAATCCTTCCACGCTAAATTTGGCACATTTGCAGGGACTTCAGTTAAGAGCACTTTTAACATTTAACATTAACATTAACCATATAGAAACTAGAGCAGGCAGAGCCAGGTATATTGTCTTTTTTTTATTCCACACATTCTTTCTACTTTTTAAAGAGGTGGTATTATGGTTTTTGGCTTTTTCCCTCTCCTTTATTGAGTTATATATCTTTTTTGTGCATGTACTAGGTTTGCAATGTGAAAAAGCCCAAAGTCCACCCCAAAGGGAGTTCCCATCTCCCACAGAAAACACTGCTCTGAACTGCCTGAAAACAGCTCGTTTGTAGTCCAGCCTTTACTTCCCTTTCTTGTGACGTCACAATGGAAATATGTGTCATTATGCTCGCTCCACTTGCTAGTCCGACACGCCCTCAAAAACACCGGTGGAAAAACACTGAGCTGCAGCACACCTCTCCTCTCCCTTCCAAACACTAGCTACCCTCCAAGCAGTCAATGGACATGAAGTTGTTACCTGTTCTGGTACAACCCCTAAAAAGGATTTTGAACCTGAAAATGAGCGTAATACCACCTCTTTAAAACCTGGTGTCTACATTACCCACAATTTCACGACTTCTGACAGGTCAGGTGGAGATTCAGTAGTGTTATGCTAGTAGTAGCTAATGTAGTCAGGAGCTTCTAGCCTGCAGTAGAGATGAGGAGCGGGCTGCAGAGGTCTGTAAACTCACTCCTTTTCATTCTTTTCTTTTTCAAACTTGTTGTCTCATCACTTGAGGACATTCATCAGGTTTTAGCTTTCATTGCATTGAGTGGTTCCTAATAATGCAAAGTATGAATAATTTGCAATTAACAGGTTAAAACATGCAAAATCACTGGTATGGTCATTGCAGTCATTGTTGCTACTGTTGTCACTGGACATGTCCAGAGCAGGTTGTTTCGCATGAATGCATGACGCAACCCCTGAGTTCACTTCACTGTCCCAGGCTGCATGCCACCTTCATGTGATTGTCTTGTCAACTGCACAGTGCAGAACTGCATCTGCAAAAGCCACGTTTTTTTGTGTGATAAGTCAGCAATGGTTAGCAACAGCAACATCCCAGGTTCTTTGAAGCCTTTTCTTGGTTACAACTTTTATTTATGTTGTATTTGAACAAAAGTTATGGTAGGTTTATTGTAAAGACCAATTGCATTAAACACATAAATACACTTCCTATAGTGAGTCAAGGGGTTCCCAATCCATTTATATTAAGAAAGGCATAGGGAATACCTATGATATATAAAGTTAAAAAGCCTTTCCCTGAGTATTAACCTTAAAGACAGGAAACGCTCCAGAGGCTCACGTCCAGCCTATTAGTGGCCTCATAAATTGTGCAGTATGGAGCCTTCTTCAGGGGAGGGTTGTTGCTGCATAGACTCTTTTCTCAGGGGTTAACAGTATGAACTTTGCTACATAAACCATATTTTATCATATGATTCCCACAGGAAAAGGTTTAATTGACACATAGTGTTGTTATTTTCCATGTTCCACAAGTAGGATTCTTGTTTGGATAACTTTTAAACTCAGACATAAAGTATAATACTATAATTTGGAAAGCTGTAAAACACAGAGATGTGATACTCATATCTATATATTTATCTATATACTGTATATACAGTCATTTATGTGGTGCAGAATTCAAGATGTGGTTCTTCCTAAATGCACACGTTTTAAATTATGCTGCTGGACTTGCAGTACAGACTGTCTCAACTGTTGTTCCAAACACCTGCATTGGCTTCCTCATTCATTATTAAACCATACTAAAATAGAAAGAAAGAAAAAGAACTAACTTTACTCACATGGTTTATGTTTTTAAGGACATCCAAGAATTTTAAGGAATCCAGGGTAGATGTATTAGGTCTATGTATTGCATATCATTGTTATTCATTTAGGTTTTGATTGTAATAGTCTTTATGCTCTGTTCTCTTGGTGGTGATTTCCTACATTCAGCAGAAGTCTGGTGGAGCAATAATCCATCTATCGCTCCCATCACATCCTACTCCTTGCATGCTGGTCACGCATTTCTGTCCTGGGTTATCTACTTGTCATCATATTTTACATTTTCAGCTGCAGAGTGGAATTTTGTGTGGATTTAGAGGCGGGTGGTGTTTTTTAGCTTACAGAGTCACAGAGAAGGAAACAATTGGGCCATCTGTGGTGGGGAGGATGGGCTGTGGATGGCATTTATGATCGCTGCTGTGGGTGGGAAAATGGCCTCCTCCTGAAAAAAAGAGTGCTCGGTTTGGAAGAAAGGGCAACGGTGTTGCAGTAAGAAACAAGAGAGCCTTGTGACTGGGATGAGACGGGGCGGCTCGAAGTCTGTGCCACAGGTCAGAGGGCACGGCCAGTCGCCTACCCTCTCAAACCAGTAACACTTAAGTGTTTGGCCAACCATTAGAAGATGAGCAGGCACAGAGAGTAGGGCAAAAGTGTGAGAGAGGCTTTTATACTAGCAGAGAATTACCAGCTCTTTCAGGGAAAGTGGTTCACAGTCAGTGCACAGTATTCTTTAAAAACAGTTTAATCATTTTAAACTGTATCTTAGGGCAATTTACAATTATATATCATTAACCTAAGTCCTTCCCATTTTCCTGAGAAAATTTTTTTTTTTGACTTAGTGGTGAGCTGGTTGTGCCTCTTGATGGCACAGCAACAAAGGTGGAAAACAGTATGAGAGAAAACAAAAGCAAAGCTTGAAGGAAACATTCACCAATTATACACATAAAAGTCAGTTCACCACTTTCACTACTTTCCTGCCCCCACTACTGTAGTGCGAGTGTTAGATAAGAACCTTGAATCCACTCTTAAATCTGTCCAATGAAAAAAACGCTACTGCCAGCAGCTGATAACTTAGCAACACAAGGCTGAAAACAGGGGAAACAGCTAACCCTGTTTTCTAGCCTTTATGCTAAGCTAACTGGGTGCTGGCTCTTGCTTCATAGTTAACATGAGAGTGGTATCAATCTTCTTATCTGACCCGCCTGCTGAAAAACAGCTAATAAGCACCTACCTGTTTCTTTATTAAGGAGACACAATCACATGGCTTTGTGTTCTTGGAGCTTGACCGATATTAGAGACTAAAGTCAGGACTTCTCGGCCTCTACTTCATTCATTGTAAATGCAATTCTGTGCAATACTGGATTGCTGTATTGCCTCTTTAACACACAGCAGGCTTAAACAAAGTCAGTTGTGGCGATGCGTTTCATCAATGACAAAGAGGATAAATGATCAAGATAGTTATCAGTAGCCGCAGTACACAAATCAATGGTACCTGTTGCAAGTCACATTTCTCCACACTGCCTAAATTCTTCACACAGTTACAACATTTCATTTGGACTACTGCCAAACTGACTATTTCAAATCTTAAACCCCCAGCTGATCTGTCTTCTGAACTCAAACAATCTCTCACTGATCCTCTATCAGTCAACTTTAATTTTCTCTCAGCTTATTCAAACATGGATTAAGGTCCAACCGTGGAGGCTGGAGACATCACAGCTGTGTCACCTCCTTTTAAAGTGATAACTGCCTCGCTGCTTCTCAGATGTGTGGAGTCAAGTTGGTTCGGTCCCAAGAGGGTAGAACCGCAGGTGGGGGTGTAAGGGTTGAACCCACTAGTTTAATTGGCACTTGTTGGTTGTGAGTTGAACATCTCTCATTCCCTAAAGAGACACTCAGGACTTCAAGGCTAAAGCTTTTTGTTTCTTAACTTGGTGGAGAAACGGACGCAATACCCTCAGATTCCTTATAGTGTATCATTAGAGCTTTAAATTAGTTAGGTTAGGTATTGCATTACTTACCAAATAAGGGCTTTCAGATCGAGGTACCGTAAGGTTGAGTCATACTTTGATAATGCTGTAATGTTCTTTAATTGTTTGCATACAACAAACGTATAGCAGCAGGATTGCTCACACAGAATAGAAGTCGGACATTGTTTTTGCATAGGTTGCAATGGGCCTGAAAGAGAAGTTAATTTTAGTTTCTTCAAAGAGTCCTCCCCCAAAAATGGCAATACTGCAACACTAATACCAATAGCAGTCCGATACTTAGTCTTTCCTGTTGTTAATGAGCAATCCCTACACCACTTTCATCTTTCTGGCA